CGTCATCATTTACCCAGAATGCTTTGCACGTAAATAAAATGGCTCCATCTGTGTTAAAATATATTTCAAAACATTATAAAAACTAAATGCCTACAGTATTTTTACAGTCTTTATTTTACAGTTAAAATAAATGTTTGTCAAATAAAGTCTAATGTTATAATTAATCGTGGATCCCTTTAAGGATTACAGGATTTTTAATGATTTTATTTAGTTTTGGGAACATGAAATAGAAACTGGGCTTATTTAAATATTTCCACGTATCGATCAGAAGCGCCGTGAGTCGTAACAACTGTTTTGATGTGTGCGGTTAACTATGTGTTAATGTGTACTTGTGTGAAACTTTAAAAAAAAAGGTGCGATATGTACAAATACATACTATTGTTGCTTCTTTCACACTTAAAGTCGTCACGATTTATGGACGAGCGCATTGAGAAAGGTGTGAACGCATCAATTCACAGGTTTTTTTTAAATGAACGCAGCTGAGCATGAATCGTGTTGTTTCCCCTTCACCGGACGACACGGAGCACCGCCTCATCTCCGTCTCGTTGTTTTCCTCTTTGCTTTTTCAATTCTTCTCCTCTTTCCACCTCTCAGTGCGCGTCTCCCTCGCTCATCTTTTCTGGTTTTCTTTCTTTTCTCCCTTTCAGCAGGAAACACAGAGTCCAAACTAATGACGATAATAACTCTCTGAAATGTTGCCGCTCTCCTTTTTTTCCCCTCATTTCCTCCCTCCTTTCTTCTTTTTCCTCCTCCTAAGGTAGCCATTAGCCGTCCATCCCTCCCGCCTGCAGCACTTAGCTGGGAGGAGGAGCGGGATGGAGAGATGGGAGAAATACGGAATTAAACGAAGATCTGCAGATGTCACCGCTGCACATTCTCCATCTGTAGCCTCCACCGGTCCTAGCTTATTCCCTCCATCCTTTTTTCTGGACGGACCTGCTGGGGATTATCTCGTGCTCACCTGGGTTTCTGTTGGTGGTGCGTCCCGCTGATGGGTCCTTTTTCGGAGCCAGTCCGTACGGGTCTAGGAGCGGAAAAAAGAAAAATAATAAGAACATAGAACTGGAACCACTGAGTTACATTAACAAAGACGGATCCAGTGATAAACACTGAAGAGGTTTAATAAACGGGAAGCTAAAGACATTGGATTTTTTTCTTTTTTCTTTTTCTTCTTTGGGCTGAGGGATGTTAGACGAGGCCATAACGGCTCGTAATCTGTGGTCGGCAAATCAGGCCATCTGTCCGGCCAGCCCTGTGTGACGGTGATGGCATTAACCTCACACACACACACACACATACACACACACACACTGCATGAATGTTGCTCCTCATAAGTTAAATTAGATGTTTCAGAAAAAAAACCCTTTTTGTTTCAATAAACTGTGGAGCTTTGAAATCCCTACGTTTTCACAAAAACATATTTTTCTGATTAAAGCAACAAAAAGAGAGCAGAAAACTAGAAAAATAGCTTCTTTTTTTTTAAAAATGAGATCAGGTGTTTCTTTACGTTTCAATTTCAATAACTCAAATCGTATTTTTTCTGTGAAACTTTCCCGTATTTGACTCGTTCTTTAGTCTTCCACGCGCGCTAAAAGTCCATTTGAGCATTTTGTTGTTTAAACCACTTTACTGTCATTTATGAATCACTCTGGCATAAAAAGGCTCCGAACATATTTTAGTTTTATATAAGCAGCCTGTTGAAAAGACACAATTTAGCCATTGAAAATGAGAAAAGATGAAACAGTTTGATTCATTAAAAAGCATCCAACACCAAGAAGGTGAGAGCTAAAGAGCAAGTAGCTGAAAACTTGACAATCTAAAAAAAGACGCTGCTTTGAGGTTCTGTCAGAACTTCACTGGATTCTTTTTTAAGCCCATGACCTTTACAGTTTATCTGCTGTAGATGTTTTTAAGCCTCTGGCCTCCAATATTTTGTCACGTCAGGCACAAGGACTAGATTTTTATTTATATCCTAAACTATCCTTTAGTTCTGCTGCTATAGGTTTATAGAGATGGAGGACAAACTTCTGCTGCTGTCTTTAGTCGCTCTACTCTCTTTGTTTCATATTGTTTTACTGATTATAGCACTTTGAGATTTCTGTAAATGTAAATAAATAAAATAAATAAAGTGTATTATTATTATTTCTATTTCTATTATTTCTATTATTATGTTTTCCTTATAGAAACAAGACAGACTGGGACAGACTGGGGTGGTGGTCCCCCTGTTTAAAAAGGGGGACCGGAGGGTGTGCTCCAATTACAGG